AAAAAAAAAAAACAAAACAAAACAAAACAAAAAAAAAGCAAAAACAAAAACAAAAAAGCAAAAAAGGGCCTTGATATTTGGATACTGTCAGCGATCAAAACAGTTTCGGAAAAACTTGTTGAATAACACTTAAGCCTTGAATAAAAATACTGCGTAGCGATAATCGGATGTTATAAAAGCAAAGATGACTAAGGAGCAGAAAAAGAAACCGTCTTCATTCATGCAAACAACTCATGTTTACAAAGTTCGTGACGTTTGGCAAGTTGTTCGTTAGAACGGTTAACCAATTTTGTTGACGGATGACATTTTATGCTTCCGAGAACAGATAGCTCGAGCCGTTCGAACGGATGGCAAAGTTTACTAAATGAATAGCCCGGCCGTTCGAACGGATGACAATGTTTTTCAAACGGATAGCTCGAGCCGTTCGAACGGATGTCAATGCTCTTGAACGGATAACTCCGTTCGAACGGTATCTCAGCCCGTTCGAACGGCTAATGAACGGATTCCAAACGGCTATCCGTTTAAGAACGACTAACCGTTAGGAACGTGTTCGCGTGAGGTCACATTATTTACTGTCTTTACTATGAATATGGGCTTCGGACAACTATCTGAAAACATGTATTCCTTTATATAATTCTATGCTTATATTAAACTTATTTGTGATCAGACTTCAAGTTTAACAAACGTAATTTGTCCATGTTTGTCACCAACACCATTCTATTTTCAGTTCATGCAGCAAATGAAACAGATGCCGAATAGATACTGAATCACTGAAACGTACCTGCATGCGGAAGTATCGGAAACAGGACAAAATACAAGACGCAGCTTGACGAAAGAACGTTTACCGCGATCATCAGCCCACAGAAAACTTTCAAGTCTCTAAACGGTGGTGTCGCAATCACTCATGGAACGAAAAAAAACTCTCGTTTGTCGCCGCTGGATAACAAGTCTCAGTAGTCAAACGTCGCCATGTTTAATCTGCGTGATCACATCACATATAACGCTATTCCAAAAATAGGTCCGCAATGCGTACTTGGGGTCTTATGCTTAGTTTTATTCCTTTCGGCTGGAATGCTGTTTTCAAGTGTCAGTATCTGGGAGTTGAATTGCTACAAGTGAGAAGGTAGACATAACAAGTCGTTACAATTTTTAAGTTCGAAATGTATGGCAGAATACTGTTTACTTACTTTACCCTCTAATAATAGCTATCTATTCAGCTCTTAGTCCTAATGGGACGTAACACAACAATAATCTCTCAATTTAGCCCTATTTTGTGCCTATTTTGTCCCACGTGAGTTTTAACTCTCTAAACTTGGCACTGTTTACACATGTCAACTTGAACTTGTACATGTAGTGTCAAGAGGTTTTCCTGCTGTAATGACTAAGCCTGTTTAAATACATAACAACATCAACAACTGAGCACCGTAGGGTTGTCAGTTGTTGTTTTTTTGTTTGTTTGTTTGTTTTTGTTTTTGTTTTTTTTTTTTTGAGAAGCGGGCTCCATCCCAAAAGTAGGCGGTTAAGGTTTGCGTGAAAAACATGCCGCGAAGCGGCTGGACAAATTAAGACGCGCACTCAGGGGGTCGCCCCCTCCCACTGGGAAAATGATTGAAAAGTAATTCCCCGAGATGCAATGTGGTGCTTCTTTCAGCTAACATTGTGTACATTTGTTGATGATTTTCCCACTCTTAATTATTGTTATTCTCCAATCCAGTGTTCGTGTAAACGTCACGGCAAAAAGGTTAGGGAGGATTGACTCACTCAAGCAAATCGCTCTAAAAACAAACAAGTAGAAGATTTCAATAATAAGTAGAAAGTTTTCATTTGAATTTCACCTGCCTTACTAGCGTTTTGTTTTTTTTCTTGATACAATGTAAATTACACTTACACCGTTACTTCGCACATGGTATCCCTAAATTGGCTGCCTGCCAATGACAGACTTTACTTGAACAATGCCGTAATGATCTTTAAATGTGTTCATAAACTCTTCCCTGTGTACTTAATTGAGAAATTTACTCTGTGGTCACAAGTTCACACCAGAAATACTAAACAACGCGGTCAACCGAACATTTCAAGGCGCCGTCGAACCACCGGACAGCGGTCTTTCACCTACCGTGGTACTAGGTTCTGAAATAATATAAGAGACGATGTTAAATCTTCAGACTCTGTCGACGTTTTTAGGAAAAGAATTGTTTACCTACTTTTTTCTGATTAATCTATGAATTTGTAAAGCGTAAATCCAATCCATTGTATGTCACTAATTTTTTAATGCATATTTATTACCTTAGTTATTTGGTTATTGTTTTAGTTATTTTAGTATGATAGTTATGTAGTCTTGTAACCGAAAAACCCTTGTAGGGAGTTGTGATAAAGTATGTGTCATATTTGTATTTATTATATGGCTGTGTCTCACAAGGACTGGGAACTACCGAATTCACGAATTTGATTGGCTGAAATCGATGTTGACCGCGGTCTAGATTTTCCCATCCAGACCGGCATCTAGATCGGTTTCATTTTGCGTTGAAAAAATAGCAAACTAAAATACAAAAATATTCACCTTTTTTTTTTTCATTTATGGAAGTGCCAAAAAGCCTGATGACAAAAAAAAAAGTAAAGAGGACGAGCAATTTCGGCAGGTTTAAGTTAAGCTCATCGCCGTTCGCAAGCAAAATGTCAGCAAACCAGTTACATTAAACGAATTTAATTTTTCTTCTTTGCCCTATAATAAACATCACTGCGTTCGGTCTATACTCACGACCTCGGTCAAGATTCTCCCATACAGACCTCCAGCTCGGTTAATAAGAGCTAAGTATTGTATCTCTACTGTATTGTATTTGTATTTTGTGCACAAGGAGGCAATAAAAAATACCTCTTCATCTTTTTCTTCTTGAACTTATTTCACAAGGTGTACTATTATACCATTGTCTTTTTTACAAACTAAAAAACCCAGTGAGAATAAAATCTCATCAAGAGCCTAAAAAAGAAATTACCCTTTTACTACAGCAGGAGCTCCCTGGCCGATAAATTTGGCAATTATGCTCACAGAAATCCACGGCTTTGAAATGTTCGATATTTTGGCGCTTTCTTGGCTTTATCTCGTATGAAATTTAATTTGAAAATAAGGTTATTTAAAGTTTCTTTCATATTTTAACCTCATGTTCCGAATTTTAGGCTTTTTTTTGTAGTAGCGAACGTATTTGACACGCACGCGTTGTCTGATAACCATCTCGTCGGGACTCTGCTTCTAATGCTGTGTTTAGACTTAAACGGTTTACCGAGGTACCAGAGTTTACTTACCTAGGTAAACATTTTCCGTGTGTAAATGCCAACTGATACTTTGGATAAATGCCGCAAAAGACAAAAANAAAAAAAAAATTAACCGAGGTAAAAGTTGTGATTACCCTGTGGTCACGCATGGTTACAATTGGTAACCAAGGTCAAGATGACAGATATATCCGCTTGTGGCGGCGTAATATTTCACTTCCCGCCGTGAGCAGATTGTGCGATGGTCGACAAAGCAAAGCGTTTCTTTTCCAGTTTTGATTAGGCTATTAAGGCAGATAACGTGGAAAGATTGGATCGATCTTCTTACGGCGAGCAATCCGTCACGTAAAAGAAAGCATTATATTTTTCATTCTCAATATTATTTACAACTTTCTCAAGACAAACTTCGATCCTTTGTTGTGTAATTATTGTCGATATATTTTGCCACCAGGGATGATGCTGCATATACAACGTATCCACGTTTCTCCGCATATAACCATGTAAACTCTGGGTATGATCAAGCAGCTGAATTTTCGCCGCAGCATTATGGAATGAGGTCTTCGCCTATGAAAATGATGGCACCTCAGTTTGCTCCTGTTCCACTGCAGTGGGATCCTCGTCCAAGTTCGATTTCATGACGTTGATAATGCAGCGCGCGCGAATGTTGAAAGGTCAACTTGAGTTATTTGAGCCGGTATAAACACTGGACGAATGTACCAAGGGTTGC